GCGAAACGTGTCCACAAACACTCCAACAAGACTCCGACAAGTACTTCTGTGAGAATCATACAAAGACATTACATACGAAAATATCAAAGTAATGCAACCATTATTAATATGAAATTTGATTTGATATAGTTCGTTGATGAATATACATGCCAGATTGAATATTTAATAAGCGAAAACATAATTTGTATTAAAATGTTAAATCAAATATGGTTAATATAAAGAGATTCCAAGAGATTGGTGTCTTAGATTAAAAATTTGATATGAGAATGAGGCTATGTTTTCTTCTACCCACCTACCTAATGAGACTATTTTCTTATTATTGATTGAATAATCTTGAGATTTTTATTTAACATCTAAAAAGTAATGTGCAATTTTAACTTTTTATGTTATTAACATCATTCTACACATTAAGGATCAACCTTCGAGTTGAGAACAAAACAGGAGAGACTGACTTTGTTGTTGGATAGAGTGGGAGCTTGAATTTTTGGAATGTCGGCTGAAAGAATATTCCAAGACAACGATAGAATTAAAGGACTACCACATGCTCATCTCCTACAAATTGAGGGAATGACGTTGCACGACATCAACCTCACATATTACAACATCGCTAATCCAACAAGTGAGTACAGAATTATCAAAATAGGGAAGGACGAGGAAGAGCATGCCACCAACGATATTCCTGACTTAATTGAGGTAAATTATATTAGAATCAAAATAATTACCAATACTAATTACAAATTTGTGATATTCTTTATTGGATTTATATTTTTATACTATGCATATGCCATACTTTATATTATGGGTCATGACTATTTATTACCCAAACTTTTTTTGGATTCTTTTTTGGGTTAATATTTTCGTATGGCCTGAACTTTGACCAAAATAAATATCCTGGCCAATTTTTTCGATCTATAACATCCTGGCCTGAACTATACACCAAAATAAACAATTTGACCATATCCGACTTTTGACCGTTAACTTGGACGGTCAAACGCATTGACCGTTAGTCAACGCGCCATGTCACTGCCAAGTCAGCATAAAATATTTAAAATAATTCACAATTTTCACACATTTCCTAATTTTAAATTATTATAAATTAAAAAAATCATCTAATACCTTAGTTAAACCAAAAATAAAAAACGAAAAAAAATTAAATATTTATCAGATCTTCTGACTTGGCAGTGACGTGGCGCGTTGACCGTTAGTCAACGCGTTTGACCGTCCAAGTTAACGGTCAAACATCGGGTTTGGCCAAATTGTTTATTTTGGTGTATAGTTCGGGCCAGAATGTTATAGATCGAAAAGATTGGCTAGAATGTTTATTTTGATCAAAGTTCAGGTCATACGAAAATATTAACCCTTCTTTTTTATATGCCAAACATATCGAAATACTAAGAATTAGTCAAATGTTAACTTTCGGTTAGCAATTTTGTTAGTAATATTGACTTGGCAACATGATATTGACTTGAAAGAGACACATGAAGGTCAACATTACGAAAGATTTGGCTAATTAATAGCATTTTAATAGGTTTGGATAATATAAAAGAATCTAAAAAAAGATTTGGATAAAAAATAGATAATACCCTTATGTTATCGTGCAACTGTCGGATGAAGGGAGCTAATGGTTTAATTAACATAATTAATAGCATTTTAACGGTCATACTGAGCTTGCTGCAAAGGAACACCCTTTTATTTCTTTCACTACTTACTTAGAAATATTGATGATATGATATTTTTAATTTTCGTATTGGGGTGGGACTTTTCTTCCTTTCCCACTAACTTGAATCAATTATATCCGACTACTATTTTATCTACAATATTAAACAATCATGATTCGATAAAACCACAATATGTGCTATACTTTTTAATGACAAATATCTAAATTCATAATGTTGATGTAGAAGAACAAGAATGACACTACTAATGGTGGAGGTAATGAGTTCAGTGCTATAGATAATGATGATGTTGAGAAGAAGAAAGACATTGATCATGAGGAAGATATAAAGAATGGTGATGGGGAGAAAGAACAAAACCTAGATATCGTTTGTAAATTGGACGAGATAAATTATACTCCATTGAAAAAGATGATTTATATTTGAAAAAATATTTTACCATCAAATGTTTGTGCTCGATGACATGCACAAAAACAAGGAAGAGATAACTGAAATACAAGAGACAAAGGAAGAGTTAATTGATAATTAAGATAAATGTGTCGCTATTGGAGATGAAGATATTATTAAACGGTGACGATGAGTTTGTTGCTCTTGCCGGAGGAAATGCAAACAAGCTAAAAAGAAAACGTTCACTAATTTCTGACAATGAGGAGTAAATAGAAGTGTTATTTTAATTGTTCTTTAGGAGTAGGTTTTCTTGAATGGGGTTCTCTTTCATTTTTGTAAAAACATTTTAGTCGATTAGTCATTAATATATCGGAAAACAATGTTCATCCTTTTGAATTGTTGAACTATTTTAATAATTTGGATTCTTTTATTCTTTCAATCTTTTCAAATGTTTAGAGTATTTGAAGAACATCGAATTTCTTATACTAATGCAAAACTCAAATAAAGATTGCTACTTGTTATTTACGTGATTGACAATCGAATTCGATCAATGGGTCGGACCCAAATCTAGTCTTATGAAAGGAAATTTCTGGTTTCATACTCATGATTAGAATAATAAATTGCATTTCGAAAAATGGGTGGTTAATTAACAACACGAGATAGAAATTCATCGGCACAAATATGACTCTTTATTTAGTAATAGTGTCGTCAGGAACTGTTTTAGTAGTACAGGTGGTAATCAAGGTCGTCCAATGAATCATGGAAGTCATGTTCCATGATTGAGATGTGGTCCAAATTTAGGTATAATAAAATGATAATTAAATAGTTATTTTAAAACGCATTTCTGAAATTGTTCCAAAATAAAATTATCTATTAGGTTTTCAATTCAACTACTGGATTAACTAAGAGATCTAAGTTGGAGTCCCTCTGTGTCAGAGTACCTACCAACAGTAGCATGAGGTGGGACATGAGTATCTATTTCCTACCCGCCCAGACCCGTCCGCCCCGTTCTTGGTCTATTTTATCTCAATTTCTTATAACATCTATTCATATTTCTCCTAATTTGATTTTTTTCAACTAGTTAGACTTGATCGTTCAACTAGTTAGGCTCAATTATCCAATATATTATCACTATTTTCATTCATAAAGTGTTTCCCCCTTCATTTTATCAATAATAATAATATTTTGCATGCATTTTTTCAAATAACATGTAAGAGTAGATCGATCCGTCCTGTAACCACGAGGGTATTACCCACCTCGACTCGTAGTAGTGTGGGACAGTGCATGAGTATTGAGGTTCCTGTCAGTGGCGGATACATGGCACTTTGGGGGTGTCTCGGGACACCCCTAAAATTTGGTAACACGATTATTCAACCCCTGATAGTAGTTTGCATATTGGTGAAGAAAAATAAGTGATAGCGGGACACTCTTAAAATTTGGAAAAATGATTATCCAACACCCGGTAGTAGTTTGCATATGTGTAAATAAAAACGTTTAAGTGGTAGCTTATGTAATTTGAACTTTGGTCGCTGCTGTTATTAGGAAGCATATTTTTCATTAGACTACAACTCATTTGTTCTTGTATTTTAATCCAAATATACTAGTAAAAAGTTATTCTTTTACCCCAATTATTCTCAAAAGCTAACGATTAAACTCAATTAAGGACTCCCCTTGTCTAGTAGGATATATCGAGAAAGATTTGTAGAGCATTGTTAGACATGGATGATATTTTACAATTTTTTTTCAGAATACAAAACACGTCATGTGCTTTGTTGTATTTTGTACAAGTCATATATATTTATTCTTATTTAATTATTATTTAATAAATTTTTTAGATGAGAACACCCCTATCTAAAATTTCTGATTCCGCCTCTGGTTCTTAGCCAGGATTTCCTAAGAATTGCCTGCTGGGTTGAGACTAATGGACCCACTAATCTTGTAGCCAATTGTAAACAACAAAAATATATGGGTCCATATCCCCCCCAACTAACAATAGATCACACCCCATTTTTATGCTCTAACAGTACGATCAAGAGATGCAAAGTAGCAATTGCCAACATTCCCAGCCAGCCTATAACGGCGCTATGATATTTTAGTCAAGAAATGAAGGACGAGACGACAATACAACCAGCGGAGAGGAGCCGATGAAGGAAGGAAAGGGATTCGTTACTTACTTCATACGTACTACCACCAACAAACCCACCCCGATCGCGATTTCACGCACAACTCGTTATCCAACCACATCAACTTACACCGACGCTAACCCCAATTAGTATTTTAGCAGAATTCCCATCGCCAACCTTTCCCAAACCGTGCAGCAAAGCAAAGGAATGTCGACCACGTCACCTAACAAAACTTCGACCCAAACGGACGGGAAATTAGGTTTACAAAAGGCCCCCACAAAACCCGCTCAATTTTTGAACCTCCTTCTTCTTCCCACATTTTAAAAGCGCAGAAGTCAAGGCCACCCGCCAATACTCCATTACTCTCTCTCTCTCTCTCTCTCTCTCTCTCTCTCTCTCTCTCTCTCTCTCTTTCTCTCTCTCTTTCTTCAGTCTCGCTGTCCGGAGCCAATTCCTCTACGCTCCGTTCTACACGGTTGAGGGAGAATTTTGACCAATAAGACCGAAAATAAAAATAAAAAAACAGATAGAAAAAAAATAAAAGGAATTGAAAAGTCAAAGCGCCACCGTCGATCCTCTCCTTTCCAATTCCGGCCACTTTCGCCTCCGTCAATTACCCTACACTTCTTCTTCTTCTTCTTCTTTCCCCGTCCCCCGTTCTCACTGATCGTTCCAACGCGTGGTACAGCGAGTGGAGTGTTTTTCTAATTATTCTTTTCCCTAAATTAGGCTGCAGAATCGCATTGCGTACGGTGCTGTTTGGTTTCTGAGAAAGCACTGTTTGGTTGCTCGAACAACTCCTTTTGATTCCCGGCTCTCTGGTTTTCGCCTGATCGAAATAACCTGACGTACGGAAATCGTAGAGATGGAGAGTCTCAGGACTCCATTCAGCGGGATACTGGACGATTTGCGAGGCAGAGCCGAGTGCTACAAGGATGATTGGACCAGTGCCATTCGCGCTGGCGTCAGGTTTTACCTTTTCTTCTTATTCTTATTCTTCTGTTTTTTTTTTGTTCGGATGGCTTTCGATATCTCTCGTTTATCATGTCGTCCTACTGTTTGATTAAAAGCCGCTTACATGAATGATTCTCCGACTGTTTCTCTGTCAGGATTCTGGCCCCGACGTGTTACATCTTCTTTGCCTCGGCTCTTCCCGTGATTGCCTTCGGGGAGCAATTGAACCGAGATACAGGTTAACTTATTGGACGCCGTAGAAATCAAATCCGTTGGTAATGCGATTTTTTGTTAATATTGTTTCTTGTGTTGGTCTCTGTTCTGTAGACGGCAGTCTGAGCACGGTGGAGACTCTGGCCTCGACTGCGCTGGCCGGACTAATCCACTCAATTTTCGGAGGGCAGCCGCTGCTGATTTTAGGCGTTGCTGAACCGACGGTCATAATGTACACTTACTTGTACAGTTTCAGCCAGGGAAGGCCAGAGATTGGCCGCGAGTTATATTTAGCTTGGGCTGGATGGTGAGCAATTGAAACTTTGTTTCTTCTCTTTGTACCTTTCTTTCAGCTGCTTGATTGATGGTAGATTTCTCTCTCTCTCTTGCAGGGTTTGTGTTTGGACTGCAATCATGTTGTGTCTGCTTGCGATATTCAATGCCGGCCACATCATCAACAGATTCACCAGGGTTGCAGGGGAGATGTTCGGGATGTTGATTGCCGTTCTCTTCATTCAAGAAGCCATTAAGGTAGGCTACATCTGTGTTGGTGTTGTTTTTCTTTCGATGGTATTGTCGTCATGATGAACAGCTAGCCTGCACTGATTCTGTTGATTGGAAATTGCCTTTCAGGGGTTGGTTACTGAATTCAACATCCCAAAATCCGAAAACCCGAAACTAGAAGAGTTTCAATTCTCGTGGCTGTATACAAATGGCTTGCTTGCTATCATTTTTGCAGTTGGTGTCCTCTGGACTTCCCTTAAGACGAGAGAAGCTAGAGCTTGGAGATATGGCTCAGGTAAGATGGAATTCGCTATTTTGTTATGTCATACACACTACTGTTTGTATTAAGATTAAATCTGTAAGTTTATACTCGACATGTTAAGTTCACAGCCATCACTATTCTTACAGTTGATTCTGATTGTTCCTTGCAGGAGGAGTGCGAAGTTTCATTGCAGACTATGGTGTTCCGCTAATGGTGATACTATGGTCCATATTATCCTACGCTATACCGAAAAAGGTTCCTCATGGTGTTCCAAGGAGGTTGTTTATTCCACTTCTTTGGGAGTCACAGTCGTTGCAGCACTGGACAGTAATCACGGTAAAATTTGTTACTGATAGGGTGTGGTTAATGCTGTAAACTTCATTTTGCATTCACTAGCAGTTAGATGGCTTGAACCAAATGATGGATGGGTACCTTAACTAACGACCACGTGAATGGAATTGCAGGATATGGTGAAGGTACCGGTGGGATACATCTTTGCTGCCATTGTACCAGCCGTTATGATTGCAGGGTTGTACTTCTTCGATCACAGCGTAGCTTCGCAGTTGGCACAGCAGCCGGAGTTCAATCTCAAGAAACCATCTGCTTACCACTACGACGTCTTCTTGTTGGGAATTCTGGTGCGTTAATTGCGCTCCCCAAAATCGAAAAAGAAGTGCATTGTCATGATGAGTAACTTTCATTCTTCTTCTTTCTTGTTCTTGATAATGATTGCGAAAGACTTTGATTAGTGGATTGTTGGGGCTTCCTCCTTCCAATGGTGTCCTTCCTCAATCCCCTATGCACACCAAGAGCCTTGCTGTTCTGAAGAAGCAGGTGAAGTACAAGAAGGGAAAATTTTCTCATCCGTGTCTAGATGCTTACAGATGGTAATAGCTTTTCATAATTTTCTTCAGTTGATTCGGAAGAAGATGGTCAAAGGTGCCAAGGAAGTGATCGACCGCAAGGGAACTAGTTCTGAAATTTACGGGAAAATGCAGGACATTTTCATTCAAATGGATACATCTCCAGCAGTAAGTTTTTTGGTTATATATGCCTAGAAAATTGTCTGTAGTTGACAGTTGGTAAAGATATATAAGCTTATGGGAATGCCGATCCTTGGTCAGCATACGACATCGGTAAGTAGGGAGCTGGAGGACTTGAAAGAAGCAGTGATGAGAAGTGATGACGAAGGAGGCGATACGAAGGGAAAGTTCGATCCAGAGAAGTGCATTGACGCACACTTGCCGGTGAGGGTCAACGAGCAAAGGCTCAGCAACTTGCTACAATCAATCCTGGTGGGAATCTCAATGTGTGCGATACCTCTTATCAAGATGATGCCAACTTCAGTCCTTTGGGGATACTTTGCCTACATGGCCATCGACAGTCTTCCAGGGAACCAGTTCTGGGAGAGGATGTTGATGCTCTTCGTCGCCCCTAGCCGCCGCCACAAGTAAGTAAGAAGATTGCTTCACTCACATCTTAATGGCCAAAGGGTACTTACTTATCAGTCTTACCCATATCTCTAATGCAGGATCTTGGAAGGTTTCCATGCATCATTTGTGGAGTCAGTGCCATTTAAGGCCATCGCTAAGTTCACTTTGATGCAATTCCTTTACTTCCTCATGTGCTTTGGAATCACGTGGATTCCCATAGCTGGGATTCTCTTTCCTCTGCCTTTCTTCATCCTCATCCTCATCAGACAGCACATGCTCCCCAAGATTTTCCGACAAGACCATCTACAAGAACTCGATGCCGCCGAGTATGAAGAGATCTCCGGCGCCCCCAAGAGAAGCATAAACCTCATGGTAACGGAACCGATTGTTTTTTGTGGATTCAAATTTGCTCTGTTTCATGCTCTGTCTTTCTCTGTATACAGGAAATGGATTCAGGAGCGATTCGGAGGGATGAGCACGATGAGGACTTCTTTGATGCGGAGATACTCGACGAGATGACGACACATAGGGGAGAGTTGAAGCATCGATCTCGTAGCGTGAGGGATCTGGAGACGATTTTTCAGGCAAGTTGAATGAAGCTTTCACTTTATTATTATTATTATTATTATTATTATTATTATGTAAATTTTGGCAAGTGAAGCTTTCATGTGATGATAACAATGGTGCATGTTTGTTGTTACAATTAATACAGGTCCATCCTGCAGGAATAGGGGAAGGGAGTAGCGGGCCAAGATCACAGGTGTGACAGAGGTAGATCAGTATACTATTGGAGACTTGATATATAGAATAGAAAGCATATATAGGCGAAATAAAGGGAGCTTTTCATTCTACCATATGACGACGGTGGCGATTGGCGACCATTATTACTCGGTGGATACAATGCAACACAACAAAAACAAAGCTCAGAGAAGAAGAGATCGAGTTAACTTTCATTATGCCTTGGATTTCAAGTGTTGTATAGTATAGAGAATTAAGATTAAAACAAGCTACCTACATGTTGGTATCTTCTAAAATGTTAGACAAGATCGAGGAAGAAGGAAAGACCGAAATTAATTAAGCTTCAGAATACATAGAGAATTCTAGTTAGTTAGTTAGTGGACAGATTAATTACAACTTGAATCTTATATTGCATTTTGTTTTTGTGGATGCCGAAAGTAGTACATTTACCAATTTGAGGTATTTTCCCTTGTGAAATATTTTGCTTAAGACATTCCGTTTCGATCAACATTTGATAGATTTACTTGTATTTTATGTACGATTGTAGTGGTCTAAATAATACATGAAATACCTAGCTAAAAGCAAGTAGAATTAGCTAGTCATTCGAAAATGTTGATCCACCCAATCTTTTCTTAGGAATTATCTTCTTCGTAAGTGTCAATAATTGACTACCATTGCATTTATTAAAGGTGGCACAATCGGATTTATGAATCACAAATTATAGAGTAGTATGTGAAGCTTTGTTGATATAGTTTTTAGGGATAATATCGTTTGATTTTGTAACTTAACAATTTTTGGTAACAAGATTTTGAATTATGGTTGTAACTCTATTTCTCTTGAAATTTTAATGGGTTAAAGTTACTCCAGCCAAAGCAAAGAGACCCTAAAGAAAAGAAAAGGCTAAGAGCTAAAACACAATCCCTATGCTATGTAAGGAAACAAAAGGAAGTCCCTTGTGAACCCCGACAACTTCTCCCAACGCTTGCTCCGACCAATAGCGACGACTCGTCGCCAGAAGAAATATTTCTCTTCATAGACGATCATGTCCTTCTTCTTGATCTCCATCCCCAACGTGGCCACCGCTGCAGCAGTTCCCCGCGCCTCTCTTCCGCCGACGGCTGTTTCAGTATTGTCTGCTTCTTGCTCCTCCGCACATCCGGCAATGAACAAGATCAATATCGGACCTAGTATCAAAATAGATAAAATGAAGAGAAATATTGCGGCCGCTTCCAGCGGGTTGATGTACTGCGGCGGCGGCGGCTGTGGGGTTGCGGGGCCGGAGAGAATGCCGTACCCATCACTACATTAACGGAAGCAGCTGCTACGGCAACGGGTCTCATTGTGTTATTTAGTCAAGTATTTTTTCTTCCATCCGATCCCCTGAGAAATAGATGAGATTGAGATGGGGCCGAGCGTGAATAGGAACATTTTTCCAAGGGCAATGGCCACTAGGGACCTCCAGCTCATCATGGTACATGCAATGTTGGCCAAAGCTGTGTTGGAGATGAATCAACTTTATGTCGAAGATTGTGGAGGCTGATATCTGGTTAACGTTGTGCGACAATAACCAAAACAGGAGTAGTAGCTCAAATCGCTACTTGCCATCATGTTTGGGATGTGATTTATGTGACCATGAGGGTTTGGGATCTTCTTCGATTGAATTAGAAACCCATAAAAGAGATAAGATTCACTCTGACTCTCACAATTTCGACCAAGAGATGCGGATTGAAGGAGAAGAAGGGATGGACTAGAGCTCCGGTTTCAGAATCATTATCATCTCCCATGAAACTAAAGTACTGGATAGAACATGCATATGGAATTGGAAAGCTCCCCAATTTTTCCTTTTGGGTAGAAAGATGGTATTTAATTTTCTTTGATAAAAAGAGATTAAAAGACTAGGAAACCCTACAAACTAGAAAGATAAAGAATGAGCAACAACAGACGGGTGATAAATGGAGGTGCATTTGTTCATTTTACCATCCATACACGTGGAGTGGAAGGTTCACTCTCCCATATTTATACTAATTTCTTAAAACCTTTACTTATTCGTATTATTTATTTATTTATTAACTCACCATTTTCAATTATTATAGCTAGAGCATAGATTGATAGAGAGAGGCAATATCCATGGCTATGTTGATTTTCTCTGCGCAAAACGAGGTCATAGACATAGAGAGCGCTAGGCCGTAAAGAAAAGTTAGCTGTAAACTATGGTGTCTTGGTGTTCTTCCCCAATTTGATTATTTGCTTGGAATATAAAAATTAAAAAATGTAAGGTTCCCATGGGTCGGTTAACAATAAATCAAAAGGCCATCTAACACCACTACGTAGCGCGGCTCAACCTTACTAGTGTTAAATTAAAAAGCTTGTTTATTTTGACATAAACTTAGATTTGAGGAAAATTAAAGTGGAAAACAAACACACTTGTACACATGATGTTCGTCACATGACACATATACATGTCACGGAAAGGAAGTAGATGATTAATTTTGTTAGAGTGTCAATTTGTGTGGTTTGATCCTTCATGTATGTAAATATCCCTAACAACATTATCCTTGATATCTCTAGATGGATAAAAAAACTTCATGATCGAATTAATTTTGGGTATGTAAATGTCGAGAAAACACTTGTATGGTTTACTATCTATCGAGTTTCTTTCTTCTCGATTCTTGCATAAGCTTGTTGGGAATGAATAGTTTTGAAAGCTATATTGAATTAATTATCCAGTATTCTTTCTAGATACGAAATTAAGAAGGATAATTAATAAAAACAATATTATGGAGATAATTAGAATTAATTATCTTAATATAATATATTTTAATTATGAGAGTAATTATCTTCCTAATTAAAGTGTGGCTTATTCCCAAAGAAAGAGGGAATATTCTAGGTTTTATGATCCTATAAATAGCAGACCCCTAGACCCTCTAGAGACACCTCAAAGAGCGGAAACACGAGAGAGAGTGAGATTCAAAGAACTCCGGTTTTTCGCAAAAAACCGCTGAGCAAATCAAAAGAGTGGCCGTTTTATCCTGGAGACGACCGGCCGATAGTCTGTTGTGCGCAATACGAGGCAGTGCCGCGAACGTCTTAAAGAGAGCGACCTAGTCCGCGACTCAGTCAGATCGGTAACCCTAATTTTCATGTTCGGTTTTCAACAATTTTAAGACGTTCTGCTACTACTATGGTTTCCTAACAGGATACCGATTCTGGTTTGAGCGATTTCTATCATCCCATGCTTTGCCGAGCTTGTTGGCGGACGTTGGTGCCGAAATGGCTAGCAACCTCGAAATCGATACAACAATGACGCCGTTGCGGCGCAGAAGGAGAAGCCCTCGGACAATTTACTGTCTCGCCTCTGAAAACCGATTAGAATACTTTTTGGTAGGCTTGATTAATTGGATGCGCTGAATCTGGCCTCCACGTCTCGAAAAATTAGAAGAGGCGTGATTAATTGGTAGGCTTGATTAATTGGTTGCAGACCAAGCTTGGAGGAATGCAGCAACTGGATTCCTTCTGGGAATTAATTGGACAATGGGGCTAATATGCTTCTCGATTACCTTTGGAGTATTTTTCGTTTTTTTTTGGGGACCAGGATGGGAATTAGTGGTTCCACAATGGAAGCCCTGATTTCGTCAATCTCGCAGCCAGGAAGGGAGAAAAATCAAAGTGCGGCGCTGGAGGAAGATAGTGCGAGCTCTAATACGGGGGAACACTTTAGTTTTCGACTCGGTCAATGCTGGATTTTTTCAAAGGAAGCGATTTCTGAAGCTGTTTAGCGTGGCAATTTTAGAGATTGGGAATTGTACTCCCTCCCAGGAGTAACAAAATAGTCGCTACGAGAAAAAGGGACGGAAGCAGAAGGCAAAATCCTTGTGCTGGTAAGCGCAGTGTTTCCCGCCGGTTTTCTCTCTGATGATCCGCGTTGGTTTTGGATTTTGTGACGAGCTGAAGCTGGAGCTTCCTCGTACGAATCGGAGTCGGGGCCACCTCTTACCACTCCTACCTTTAAGATAAAAGACTGGCTTTGTTCCCCATATCATATGTTGCAAATTGGTGACGAAGCTTGGGATGGTAAATTCAGGGCGGTCAAGCGGGTTATGGATGACACAAACGGTAGCTGCGCGGAAAACTTTCTTCGTCAAGAAACGAGCAAGTTGTGCGTTATGAAATCAAAACGCAATGATCTCTTGGGAAGAGGTAAGTACCTTTTCCTTCCTCGTAAGTCATTAGTGAATGACAAATTAGAATCAAATGACACTTTTGGTTGTTGAGGGTCGCGTAGTACTGAATGGGAGAGTCTAGTTGAGAGGATAAAATACACACTAGCTTATATTTCGGTATTGATCGATATTTCGGTATATACCGATCTCAATCCCGTAATCGCGTAATCCCTAATACCGAATAACAATTAAAATTCAATCCCAATCTCAATCCCACAAAATAATACATGTATTCGGTAATACCATATATAGACAAATTCGGTACGGTATTCGGTATATCCCAAATACCGGTACCAAACTTCCAGCCCTAACCAAGAGTGTCATTTAATAATGCATAGATCATTACATCACTATTTCACACTAGTATTAGTCGTCTCTCAACGTCAAATTCATCAAATTAAAGATTACCAATTACAAAAACTTGAGATGTTAGCTCTAGGCAACTCAAGACTCTTTGCTTAGTCTCTTTGCCCTAAATTAATTGCAAAGTTAATTAATTTTGTATTTGATAAAACCGATTGGGATACCGATGTACCGATTGGGATACCGAAATATTTAGGATTGGGATTGGGATACCGAAATTATTTGGGGATTGGGATTGGGATTGATTTCAGGGTATAATTCAGTATTCGGGATTTCGGGATTTCGGTATTTGGTATTGGGATACCGATACCGTACCAATTTCCACCCTAAGGGCCCGTTTAGTATCATTTTGTTGCTGTTGTGGTTGCAGTGGTGTTGTGTAAACAGATGTACAACCACAACAGGAAAAAAACAGAAAACACAAACATGTTTAGTTGATAAATCTGAAAAATCATGAAAGCTGACAACAAGAAACAAAAACGCGTTTAGTTACTACTATAAGAACTAAAAACCAGAAAAAGAGATATGTCCGCAAGGCGGCGCTGGGCGGAGGCGAGACGGCGCGGGCTGCGGCGGGCGGAGGCGAGGCGGCGCGGGCTGAGGCGAGGCGGCGTGGGCTGCGGCGGCTGGAGGCGGAGCGGCGCTGGGTGAGGCAGAGGGGTCGTGGCGCGCGGAGGCTGGGAGAAGAAGATGGGTGTCGGCTGTGTTCTGTCGAGAAGAAGAAGAAGATGGAAAAGGGCGGTTGTGTTCTGTCGAGAAGAAGAAGATTATGAAAAAGGGGAAGTAGGATTTTTTTTTGGGGGGGGGGGGGGGGGGGGTGGGCGGCTGTGTTAAAAAAAAATGAATTTTTTTTTG